ATCAGGGTCACGTATATTCTTCCCGCTGGTGATTGCATTAAAAATTACTCTGCAGCAGAGGAAGATAACTTAGAAAAAGTCACTTTGATAGACTAAGGCTTCATTCACACAACAGGTCTTAAAGTTCAATTCCGATTTTTTTGTGAAATACGATTTTTTTTGCATTGTCTTTCACATTTCCAAATATATGCGACTTGTATGTGGTCTCCTGTGTGAACTGCGTTCAGACAATGCAAGCATCCTGCATGAGCAGTACAGGATGCAATGACCTCATAAGCAAGCGTGCTCTATGTTTACGGAAGTAAACGTGGATGGTAGTCCTGGAGCACATCTTTCTCAACCTTAAAAACTCAATCTTTTAAAGATGGTTAAAAAAAAGACTGCTCTCCACATTATCGTCTGCCATGGTTGTTGTTTTTCTAACCACTTCTGCGTAGCAAGACACAAAATAGTGACCTTTGTTGAGTATTAAGGAAGTTTAGGTCGGATGAATGCTGGCTATTTGAAAAGATCAGATTCGTATCGGATTCAGGACGACATAGCCAAGTGGCCTGGGTCGCATTGGAAGAAAATCGGATAAGTGTTGTTCAGACTGCCGTGAAAAGATCAGATACAGTTCGTATATGGGCAAAAAAATTGTAATTATGGTTATTTCAGGCTGCAGTGCGAACAAGTCATAGTGATGTGCTGCATTAGATTGCAAATGGTGCTACTAATGCAATCTAAGTGATTAGTCAGAATACTTTTTCAATAAAGATCTTATAGCCATTGTGTACTCCCAACACTGCAAAACACATAGAAAAGAAGAATGCTGGAGGTAGTATAAAAAACTGCAAGTTAAGAAGAGCAGCAAAAGTGTGCTGCATAATGGAAGTGTCCACACCACTAAGGGGAGACAATCACCAACTCATTTGGGACCAGACCTTTAGTAAAGAAATAAACAGAGAAAGATGATATCTTAAAAAAAAAGATTCAAAGCAAAGCTTACCTTTTCTTTCTTCCATCCAGATTTCCTCTACATAGCATCCTGTTTTGTTTTTGCTAAGGGTCTGGTTCATAGATATAATTTCATTGTTTTTTTGTCTTTGTTCTCTTCCCATATGATTTTATAATCAATTCCCCCTAGTAGTCAGGAGAACTCGTTACATGAGGCTAGTTTGCTGATTTTCTTAATTTTTATTTGTTTTTGCTACTTGCAGCAATTTGTTTTCTTTAAATGTGTTTTTATGTCTTAGCATCATTTATCTATTTGCAGTTGCTTCTGTTTTTGCAGCAGGTTTATACTTCTATGCTCTCCATTTTCTGGGATTGCAGCTTTTCTTAACTTGCAGATGTTTTTGCTACTTTTAAAGACTAATAAAAAAAATGAAATGATTGGAACATTAAACCTTAAGGCAGAGGAAATACTTCCAAACCACCTTGCCCTTTATATGTAGTAGATGGCTCAGCAGATAGAAGTAAAAGAAAACCAACAAAACATGTTTACTAAAAAAGAAATTTATTTGAGTGAAATTTCATGGTGCATTTAGGTTAAAATAAGCTTGACCTGCCATTAGTGGTGCTACTTAGAATATTTGGTTGGGTAGCCACTATTCTGTTCCAATAAGAGTGGTGAAACATTATAAAAATATCCTTCAAGTAAATATTAAAAATAAAATGCAGTACAATCACCTCCAAAAGTATTTTTTTGTCAAAGAATTTTATCAATTAAATGTAACTGAGTAAATGTAAGTAGTTACTACCCACAACAGCACCTGGATGTTGAGACAACTTCAATAGGAGAGCACTTTGGAAGAAATTGTTCATCATAGTGATCCATGATCAAAAATAAACTGGAATCAAATGGCTTGTTTACATCCTCAGTGGCAGCCAAGTTCTCCAGATTCCTCCTAAGGACTTAATCATTCGATTAAAGTGTGTTAAACAGCTCCAAAAGGTGTAGAACATTGGCCATTGAGGACTGGCATCTATTGTGTTCTGTTCTAAATCTGTAACGAAAACAAATTAACTAATCATATGAAAAGAAAGAAAATTGGTGCAATAAAGTCATGAGATATTAAAATAGGCAGCAGTTATGGGTAATGTGGACCAAGTACAATAAACAAAATCACGAGTTCACCCTGAAGAAAAGAGTTTAAGAATTGACTTCTCATAGGATGAGAAACTATGGTGTTGAAATTGCTCAGAAATTCCTTACAAGCCGGGACAGCTCTATTTCAGCCACACCTTACTGCTGTTTCCTATGAGTAAAACTGGTTAGACCAGGGGTCTCCAACTCCAGTACTTGGGAGCTGCTGCCCTGTAGATTTAAATTGCATCCCTACTCTAGCACATCTGAATGTTAGAAAAGTGTAATTACCAGACCTCTGGCTGCCAAACATGACCATTTCCAAATAAGTAATTCATTAATTAGACCAGCTTATCTAAAATGTGTAAAACAATAGCTCTTCGGGGCTGAAGTTGGAGACCCCTGGATCAGACAACAGAACAGGAGTCTCCATCTCCAGTCCTCAAGGACTGGTGTCCAAAAACTTTTAGATGTGCCTCCAAAATGAGCTGAGTAAGCAGAGATTGACAGAGATTGACTGCATGATAGTGAGGTAGATTAGCCATTCTATCAAGGTATGTAGGGCAAGGGGCATCTAAAACCTGTAGCACTTCAGCCCTCAAGAAAAACACAGACATAAACTCTAAAGCTCAAGTTGATTTCTTCTCAGACATGAATAATTTTACGCTAGTGGGCTTTTGTGGGATCTTCTTAAATAACACTTTAAGGGAGAATTTATCATCATTTGCATGCGGGATTGTGAGTCTTTGAAGTAGTGCAGATTGGAATATGATAAAGTGCATATAATGGTATAATTAGGCCCTGATAATAATGATTGACGGAGAAGAACCTTGGGGCTCTTGCTGACCCCCTATCTAACGATCCTCCTCATTCTGGCCCATGATTTCTGTTACAGTTTCCAATGAGAGAGCATTGCCTTGAATTATCATCTAGACTCAAGTAGTTGAGCCCCTAATCTAAGGAGCAGCGGATATGACAAATTGATTTAATACCAAAGAGATTCTCCATCCATAATGGCCCTCTGGCTTCTTCACTCATTGGCTGCAGGCAGCAGATTCCTTGTGTGTTGATTACTGAGCAGCCAAAATTCTTTTTTTCTCTTCCCCCCACCACTTGATAAAGCTGAACAACAGACGCTAATCATTTTAGAGCATTTTTAAACCCCATGCCTGTAATTTTCCTAAACACATGACCTGTTTATCACCTACTGTAGTACGTGGATGCATGTAAAACAAAATGACATGGAGTTGTTTCGGGTGTTACAGTAGGTATGTTAGTGTTGCAGAACAGGTTTTAAGAAAATATGTCCTGTGCTTTTCAGAGCTTGTTCCTCTTAGAAAGTAGAACAAGGTGTGTTCTATAAAAACAACTGGCTTCCTGGTTAAATTGCTCTTTTCACGAATTGCACTTCAATTGTTACTTCATTAGGGTCTTTATAGAGCCCTGATATGGTCCTGATATAGAGTTTTTTTAATTAATAAAAACCTTTTTTTTTTTTATTTTTTTAATTTTTTAAGTAAATGTGTCTACACACTAGTTTCTCTTATGTTGTATGAACAAATCTTTGTCTTCTTACTGTATGTTGCCCTACATAACTAGCTGGTTAATTAAAAAGTTGTAGTTTGTGGCTATTTACTTCCTTTATCATCAACCATTTATATCACCAACGGGCCCAAGTCTGATTTCTACATGACCATTAAAAGGCAAAGTATTACCTGAAACCATGAGCTAAACTAAAAACATCCCAAAAAGCAAAACAGAATAGCCCAGTATGCAGCGGTTTCTCTGGGCAAATGGCCTGTACCACAACCCCCTAGGCACGCACAGTAGCCGCCATAATCAGGCCCTCAAAACCATAAAACATCTTCAGGCAATCAGCCTGCCCATATAGACCTTTTGATACTGCCTTCAGACATAACCAGTATCGAGAATTGTGAGGAACCACAACCAAAACAGAGAGCCTAAGACATTTTTGCATGAGATTGTGCTGGATCACTCTTCTATTGGATGGGGTATGCAACTTTACCAGTGTGGGACCTCTTTGGATGTCTTGGGCTCTGATCTCCCTACTGAATGCATTTTTTTCCCTTTCTGTTTCCATTTCTCTGTCCATTATATTTTGAATAATCCCAAAATAATAACATTTGTATAAGTACTATAAGTACTAAGTGCTATAAGTACTTCTTTGTAAAAGTAGTGAGCAGAGGGTAACTTCAAAATTTGATATGCTTCTTTTGAGTTCTTAGGTTAGATTTTCTATTTTTCTATTTAATCTTTTTCCACCATTTTAGCATTTTTCTAAAATATTCTTCATTCATTTTTTATATTTTACTTTTTAGCTATATAGAATAGAATTTAACTTTATTGTCATTACAGTGTCACGAGTACAAAGCAATGAAATTCACTATCTGCATTTAACCCATCCCGTTGGGGAGCTGTGGGCTGCCATTGTGTGGCACCCGGAGAGCAGTGTGGGGGTTAAGGATCTTGCTTAGGGACCCAGTGTGGCAGTCCGTGGGAGTGGGGCTTCAACTCACAACCTCTGGGATTCAAGCACAATGCCCTAACCACTAGGCCACTACTCCCCTATTCGTGTTCCCTCTATGCCACTACAGTGTACTATTCTATTTTTTCATGAACATCTATGAGTTCGAAATTGTCTCATGTAGAGCACACACTGAAATGTGCAAAAGAATATAGACTCACCTTGCCCTACTTTCTTAGAAGATGCCTACAGTAAGATGTTTTAGAAAGCTAATTCCCTAAATCAAAAGAAAACAACACAAACTTAAACATACTTCTTGTATTTGCTTCTGGCTATCAGCTTAACAACAGCAGAATTGAACCAGAAGGAACCTCTAAGTGGCCATATAAGTTTTTATTGCTATTTTTAAGTTGAAAATGTTTCCTCTCTGTCTTTTCCCAATTTCAGAACCAGGAGCACGTAGAGTTCCTAACCAAGAAAGAGAGGAGGTCATCAACAAACAAAAGGTCATCGCCGAAAAGGACTGGCATCCTCATCGGTAGTCTTGTGGTGCTTCTTATCCTCTTGGCTGTTGCTGGATTCCTCATTTGGTTCTTCCTCTGTAAGGAGTGACACTTTATTTCCAATTGTTTTTATTAGAAATATATTAATTGAAATGAGAGATCCAAGTATTCAGATTGTTCATTGCTGTTAAAACTTACACAACATCGCAAAGTGGATGATTAACACTTTCTGTGAAAGCAAGACTCTTTGATATGAGTGTGTAAGAGTGTAAACTTAAATTTCCCATTGGTGTTAGCCTATTTGACACCTCTGAAAATTTACTTTGCAGTGGAAAAATAATGTCAACAGCTGTTGCACAGTATCCTTGTCATTTACACAGACAGTGGCTCACAAAAAGACCTCTGAAGTCATGAACTGGATTCTGTTTTAATTGCCTCGACAACCAATCTGTTGCCATCGATCATACGATAAAGACTAAGAATTCTACTTCAAGGCCCTGTTTTAAAGTTTTCTCCTTCATCAGAGAAGCAATCTTACGGCGTTGCAGATGAATAATCAACTCTGTTCTATTTTCCTTCTGTCAGTTAAGGACGCTGATTCCCAAACCACCGTAAGGAAGCAGCCAAATGTGAGGCTTTTTAGTGGTCACCTTAACATGGATGGTAAGAGGTATTACCAAAAGCTGGAGGATACATCCAGCAAAGAATTTCGTGGTTTGGCTAATAAAGTAGAGACCCTTGTAAGTATATCATCCAAAATGTCTCCTATTTATATTCTCTGGTCGACATTGTTGCAACTTTTGATACCTTAGCCTTTAGGCGTCTACTCTAAGTAAGATTACCTTTTAACATGGCTAGCAAGGTTTTCTAGAATGTCCCTTCCTATGCAAAATAACTGCTTAATTGCATCTCTGATTGGGTGAAAGAATAAAACTTTATACATTTCCTGAAGAGCATTGAAGATATAGAAGTTTGCATTACACCTTGGAGCTGTTGATAACTAAAGGCCCTTGCTGAGACCCTTCAAGTACAAAAAAAGACAAACTAGTGAAAATGACATGCAGACATGGGGAGGAAGGTTGAAGATTGACCACAGTATCCTGCAGCTCTAATGACAGGTGGTGCACGGTGAAGGTGGTGGAAAGCCTATCCAGTCATTCTTTTCTGGTGGGTCATTATTCGGGAAATATTTATTGAATGTTTCAAGCAGGTTCCTGAGGTGAGAGGCAATAATTCTTTTTATAGTTTTAATGGTTATGTCCTAACTCTACATAAAGTCATCAAACCCTGGGAACATTTAAACACTTCTCCATCCACTCACAAAGACGATTGCTCCAGCTTTCTCTTAAATATTGTGAACATAGCGGTCAGATTTGTGTTGTTGTTTTAGTGAAGCCTATTTAGCGGTTAAGAGTAACTGGTTTTGAGTAATAAAATGCCTTTGTGAGAGCATTTGCTTGCCGTCCGGTCAAAAGCTACATTAAATTTGGGAATTATAGGTAACATAAATATGCAGCATAACTATGCTGTTATACTGTAATATTGTAAGACTGTGTTTAACTATGAAATAAAAGATAGGAAACTGCTCCTTTCTTTTTCCAACTCTTTTTTTTCTATTATTTAATCCAGTCTGCAGCAGAATGCCTGTGAGGAACACTTCATTAAAGCTTTATGTTTCTAAAAGCCAGAAGAAAACTACCATTACTCCAAAAACACTTTACTCATTAGGAGCAGCATGACATTTTTGCAGTCATGAAACCGTAATTATCTGCAAACCCCATATATACCTTGTCATTAAAAAAAACATGTTCAGTATCATAATTCTCCATATAAGCGGTATATATTAAAATAAATGATATCCTTAACTTTTTGGTTTGTCTGCTTGTTAACACAGCTGGGGGAATTCTACAAGAATGATCTCCTTCTTGCAAAGTATTACAACAGATCTGTAGTCACTGCCTTCAGGTAAGGGCACACCATCATATTCCTACAGATCAGATGTAGCGCATTTCATTATGTAAAATGAGACCTCCAACAGTTTCTTGTAAATTTATACTATTAACTATGTACAATATAAGCCATTTTTAGAAAGGAACCTTTTCAAAGCTTGCTTGTAGATTTTTTTTTTCAAATGATGGATTTTTCCTGTCAATTTTCCTATCATGAAGTTTTCCTTTTGATATCTAAACTACAGTGAAGGAGTTATAGCCTATTACTGGTCCCAGTTTAATATTCCAGTCACAAACCTGGAGCTTTTGCCAGAGTTCTCAGAGCAGCGGATTTCGGATGCACTGGAAAAAGGCATTAAGTCGCAAAACCGCGCAAGACACAGTAATCAAATCAGGGTTACTGAAATTACTGCTTCACGTAAGTACCATCAGAACCAAGTGCTTGGGTTCAAATGAAACTTTGTAGATGTTAGCCCTAACTGGCTTCAGAATATTACATCAAACAGTAAGAAATAACAAAGAAGTATTTGTCATGACCCATCAGCATTGCTTTCCTTTCTATTTACCATCCATATCATAGTTTACTTCTCTTAGCTGTGTTAATTCGATGATAGATCATTTAGATCTGTTGTGCTGCATCTGAGCTTGATATTTTATACTGTTTGGATTCCTTAATAATAATAGCCATGCCCCTGGCCATGCATTTGTTTTGTCAACATCCTGGCGCTGTAAGCCAAGTGCAAGGCCTTGTGACTCTGTGGTTTTTGGTCCTTTTTTAATATGATTGCTATTAGTATAATTTGAATGCTCCTTTACCAAATTGTTAGACAGAGATGTATGCTGCTTTAGAAGAAGGTGAGATGGAGCAGAAAAAGTATCACATTTTCCTCAGTTCCCTTAACTGCAATGAATTGGAACAGAAACATACATCAAATTCTATCACAAACTTTGATGACCCTTTCTTTCCCTTTCCCTCAATCTTCCCTCTCACTTCTTCCCACATATCTGTCTCCAGTCACAGATTATCGCATGGCCAGGAAACCCACAGCAGGTGAGTACAGTATGTCCTGTTTCAACCACTCGCTGGTGTCATTTTCCTGTTGGCTAGAAGCTCACCCTCCTGCCAGCCTGTAACAAATTATGATTCTGTCCTGTACTGCATTGGCTCTGTTCTTGTCAAAGATTGCAATCCGTGTAACAATCAGATTGAGATGCTTTAAGAAATAAAAACTTCATATACATTAGTAAGAATTTAGAAAAAATGTAGTTCCAATTAGTTTTACCCTTGTCTGTATCCGATAATCTGACTTGAGCAATATTCTTCTTTTTCTCAGAGGACTGTTTCTTCCGTCTGGAAGCAGTTAAAGCTGCACAAACCTTTTCATCTCCAGGGTACCCCAGACACTACCCGCCAAACTCTCATTGTCAGTGGCAAATCCGGACCTCAAAAGAGAATGCCATATCAGTTAGTTTTCCATTTTTCGACATTGAAGATGATTGCAAGGATGACTTTGTCTCTATCTTCGACTCTCTGAGTCCTGACGATTCTCAGGCCATCACAGTGTGAGTAGAGGTGAAAATAACTGGAGAGTTTGGGAGATTTGTTGGTTATAGTAAAGGTAATAAAAAAAGATTCTCCAAGTAAGTTAAGTATTTAGACAATGTTAAGAATCAGTGTTGTAAGGCTGCATATGGTTGGGACAGGAAGCTGTTAACTGAACTGAAAGTAATGTTATGTGTTGAAAGGAATTACTTGGAGGATCTTAATCTACTCACCATTTCCTTCATTGAGGAGATCGGCTGAGAATTCAACGAAAACTAAGACCAACACCATAGTACAGATCAGATAAGCTCCATAAGATTTGTCTTGAGATGCTCAATGCATGTCTTTAAAATGATGGGGCTGTTATATATTTATATATATAGTCTTTCTCAGTATGCTTTGAGAGCTGGTACAACGCGCCCAGAGTAACTGATTAGGGTGGATGTCCAAAATTTAAAGAAAGGTAACTGGGAGATATGTTCCCACTATTGACAGGTCCATACCAAATTATTATTTTCCTAGCAAAGTTGACCTCAGGTGTTAACCAGTTGTTAAATTTTGGAATCAGGGGGAGCAAGAGTTCTCTTTTGTTATAACCTAAAAATTAATGCCCAAGAGTTTTAAGAGTAATTCAGCTTCTTGCTCAGAGCTGACAGAAATCTTGCCTCAGTGAAGAGTTTTGGTTTTCCTGCTGCTAGGTGTGACACTGTATTCTTAAAGCTGTGGTTGGTGGATACAACATTTGTCATTATGATGAAACCTAGCATAAATAAAATTGTCACACAGCATTGTAATATACACTCACCGGCCACTTTATTAGGTACCCCATGCTAGTAACGGGTTGGACCCCCTTTTGCCTTCAGAACTGCCTCAATTCTT